GATGAACTGAGCCAAGACCGCTAGCACCTGAGACCTTTCCATTAACCACTAGGCCTGCCCCGTGCACATGTTTCCTACAGGCCTCTACCCACAATGTTCCTTTGTGATTTCCTTTGTAGGGGATGAAGGAAGGTGAAGAAAAGATGGAGGGAGATCAAGTGTCTTGCTCTGCCTTCAAAAAGCAGAACTCTCTTTTCATCTGTGCCTTTTCCCTTCTTTTTTTTTGCTTAATTGCCCTTGAGCAAGTTGTAAGTGATGCTTATTGTAAGTTTGGGGTGGAATATTTTTTTGGGAAACAAGATGTTGCATAAGTTCATGTCACTGTTAGTTTTCTTGCAGTGATGCTCTATGAGCAGAGTTTGGTTGGCAGAAGGGAGGATCCTGCAGCTAGATGAGCAGTCCGAGACGGCCACGAGCTGCATCTCTGTTGTGTGGAGATGTCTCTGGTCCTCAGGCGTCGCGCTGATCAGGGAACTGCACCAAAAAGGGACCAAGTCAGTGCCACAAAGGGCTTCATCTTTTCTAGAAAAAGAATTTCAATTCTCTTTATAAATGCAATGTCTTTTCTTCTATGGAAAAATCAATGTGCTTATAAGAATAGTCTTTTTGTGCTCTCCTTTCATCATTTGAATATCACAGTCTTGCTTCAAGCATCTTTTTTTTTGTTGTTATTTTTTTCCCAGTATTTGCAGGACCTCTTTACCCAGACAGTGACTTGCGTAAGCGGAGAAACCATCAGAGCTGTGTCCAAGGGCCCAGAAAGTTGTGATGGTCCAAATGCTGCAATGCAAGGTCCAGGTTAAGGACAATTCCTAGGGTGCTCTTGTGTCTGGATCTGCTAAGGAGGGTGAGCTGTATGGCCAGCATGTACTGGTTAAGGTGCCTTTGGCCTGCCCTCTCACGAAGCTCTCCAATGTGAATTATGGTGAATGTCTGTCCACAGGTGCATCTCAGCTCTGTTTTTCTTCAGTCTCAGGAGTTTATGCCTTTCAAAAGTGCCTTGTTTGGGGATTTCAGAACTTTAAATCTCCCTGGAATTTCTCCTGCTCTTAATTTTTAAATCTTCTTTGGGCTCTTAATGGTCAATCTTATTTTGGCCTATGGTGGTTTTGGAAGACTTTGGAAGACTGGCAGGTCTTCTGTGTTATTTAGAGCAAAAATCTCCGCAAGCGAGCGCTTTTGTTTTCTGCACTTGGTTAATGCAATGAAAATGAAGCTGGAATGACACCTAGTGGCAAATGGCAACATATCCTCATCCGTGTGTTTCACCCTTCTGGTTGAATTCCCACTGTTTTGGGGTGAGCTGGTCTCATAAAGAGGATTCGGAGCTTGGTTTGTGACCGTCCTGCCTTGGGGGCACATCTCAGGGGACACGAGGAGAAAGCAAAGACTAAAAGATGCTCAGGATGGAAGTACAAGATTTTGGACTTTCTCTCATCACGAGACACGATGGCAGCAGCTCAGGGTGTTGCTTTCCAGCCTATTCCGCTTCAGGGAAAAGCAGTTTTAAGGAGTAAAGGGAAGTATGTATATTTGTCTTCTGGAACTTAGCAGTACTGTGTAAAACGGTCTCTTGTCTTGACCTGGGAATTTGCCTGCCCCCTTGGGAGGGAGAATTACAGCTTCAGAGAACGTAGCCCGTTGATTCCGTGGTATTTCGGGGAGTTGTTGGACATGAGTGTAAAGAGGTCTTCTGAAAATAACATTAGGTTCATCTTCAGACTCATAAACTTTGCATTCACATTTTTTAACATGTTTTTTTCTTAAAGAGCAATCACTTGGGTATGTTTGGTTTTCCTCTCGCCCTTCTCAGGCTTTTAAAAACTAACATGTCAGCCCAGTAGCAGCAGAACCACATGTTCCTTCAGTCCACAATGAATCTCTACTCTTTAACCATGTTGAGCTTGAAAACCTGCAGTCGTACACGAGGGACAGTCCTGTCGCTCTGTGGTCCCTGTAGGCTCCGTGTGACCTGCTGGCTGACTTACTGATGTGGAAACCAGCGACAGGGTAGCACCAGCTTTAGGTATTTGTTTGGGGAATGACAAGCTCTCAGACCGTTAATTTCTTGGGATTTGCATCATTTCTTTCTTCAGATATTTTCTGCTCTGGTGATTTAAATTCCTGTGCGTAGGCGGCCCCGTTTCTTGGTCCCATGTTCCGCCAGAGCTGTTACGTTTGGCTGGAAGGCCAAGCCTTCCATGTGATGCGCCCACGGGGCTCCGACTTGCAGATAACTCCGCTTGCGGGGGCAGCAAGCCTGGAATGGGCTCCACAGGGGTCATGCCCGGCCCTGGAGCGACGGTAACAGCATTTGCTTTGCAGGGAAAATCCTGTTCCCGCAGGACCCCGCGCTGAGTCAGAGCGCGGCCGCCGGCGAGGCCCGGTGGGCATCCCCGGGAGCAGCTGCGGCCCTGCTCCGCTCGCCCTCGTCCCGCAGAGCCTGCACGAGGTGCCCAGGGAAGGGCCGGCCCTGCAGGAAGCGCCAGGACCCCTTGGGGAAGCGAAGGGGGCGCCGGGAGGGAGCGCGGGCTGGGGAGGCCGCGGCGGCGCCCGCCGCCCTCAGCCATGGCGGTAATGGCGGCAGCGCCGGCGGGGAGCCGGGAGCGCGGCGGGGCGGCCGCTGTGGGGCTGCTCGCCTCCTTCCTGCGGTGCTCTCTGTCCGCGCTGCCGCCGTGTCCATCCTGTCACCGCTAGCGCCCGTCGGGCGGCAGGCCGGGGCGATCAGCAGCGACGCCATGCGAAATGGGAGCACGGAGGGTCTCTGATGGCGCCCTCCTCCCCCGCGGCACGTCGCTGGTGGGGAAGGATGGCGCCTGCGTATCGTACCGCGCGCAGCCAGCCCTACCCGCCGTGCTGGTGGGCACAGACACTGTGTGTGACACCCTGACACGGAAACGGGGTAGTGCGGTGCATAACGCCGGCACCCGGCCCGCGGCCGGGCTGTGCGGGGCCTCGTCGGGGCGACTGAACTGCGGCCTCGGGCTCTTGCGAGGGGCGGGTTGATGCGGTTTGTATGTTTGTTTGTTTGTTTTTGCAATAAATCTCAATTTTGTGGACTCCATTTAGTATTTTAAATGCTCAGGAGGAAGAAATGGGGTTTTTGGGCGTCGGAGCCTCTGGAGGAGTCACAAGATGTTACCTGTGATCTGTGTGCTATAGAGGGGCCCTTGGATGCGCGGGAAGGCCGGCTGTGCCGCTCTCCTGGACCCCATGCAGGGTGTGCGCCCACCTTCCTCCTGGATAAGGGAACAAAGTGCCTGGGCAGCCAGCCCCCGTGCTGCTCACTGCTCCGCAGAGGGGTTCTTTGGTGCTTTTTCTGACCACTCAGTCACCACTTTGAGCCTGGATTAAAAAGGCAGCTTCTGGGTGCTGCAGAGGCAGGTTCCCGGGTGTCAGATAAACGATCCTGAGCAGCAAAACTGGAAGAAAAAACAACAACAAAAAAGTGAAGCAGCAGGGATGCGCTGTGGTAGTGGGTCACAGAGCTCGATGCTCTCCCCCTTACGTGCCCGCTGGTGGAGAGAGCATGGGAGGCAGCAGGTGCCCCGTGCCCAGGGCTGGTTTCGTCTGCTTGTCTCCTGCTTTCCTCCTTTGTCCTTTGCACACACGTCCCTGCGTGATGGACAGGCTCCTTGCTGCTGCTGTCAGCGCATGGCACTGGATGCATCTGTTGACCCTGGTCCAAACTGGACCCTGTGTGAGAAATAAGCACCCAGCAGAAGCATGCACGGGTGCTGTGGGTTTTCCTGCTGCCTTTCACGGCTCAGGACACTTCCCAGGAAGCTCTCAGGACTGGAAGTTTTCCGGTGCTTGCTGCTATTTTTGGTTGCCACGTTTCCTGTGCTGCCGTGGGGCTGCTTGGCAGTAATCCTGTCGCGTCCTGCTCCTCTCCTCATGGGCTCCTTGTCTTGAGAAGCCTCCAGTTGTGTGCCGTGCCTTTGACTCCTGTTTTTACACTGAGGATTGTCTAGCAGATTGAGTTCTGAACCATTGTCATCAGTGTGTAACATGAGGATTAGAGTGTACTGAGATATTTATTTTTGTGTAACTCAGTCTGTTAAACATGCAAATGTTCTTTGTATCCGGTAGCTCTCTTGTCGTGGCTTCAGGCTGGCGGAGCGCGGTCTGGCCGCTGAAGGACACGGCTTTCCTGCTGAGGGTACTGCGAGCTGAGAGCTCCTGGACGCTCTTGGACAAGAGCAAGAAAGTACCAGAACGCCTGAAACTCTTTCGCTTGTTTGCTCTGCATTTACGAAATATTCTGATTAGACCAGGAGCTGCGCGAGGGAGACCTCATGCAGGGGACAGGGTGTCCCTCGGGGTGACACTAAGCTAAAGCTCCTGTCTGGGGAGCCTGCCCCAGCGTCCAGGGCCACCCCCTTGAAGAGCGTCCCCAGACCACCCCAGTGACAGGTCCCAGAGCCCCCTGGGACACGCGGGGATGGCGGCTCCCTTCCCACCAGCTGAGAGGGTTCTCCTGAAGGGGAGACGAGGACACGGACAGCTGGGAAGGAGTATGGCCGGCCCCGGCAGGCACCTTCCGAGCACGCACGGACGCCCCTCTCGGTGTCCCCACGCTGCAGCCGCCTCTCGGTGCCCTTCTCGCTGGGAGCAGCGCTCTGGGGAACGGTCAGGCTGCTCCCTCCATCCGCTCCTCACTCCCGCCCGCCTCCAATACAGCCGCTCCACTGGCACTCGTACCTCTGGGCTGTGCTCCCCTGGGCGGCACTGGGCTATCCATCCCTGGGGCCAAGCTGAACATGGCAAGGGATGCCCCTCCTTATGTCACCCACAGATCCATTTCCTGCCACCAAGGAGCAGAGGACAGATGCTGGTGAGTGATTGCAGCCCTTTATTTCCAGCAGTGGTGCAGTCCAGGGAGCGCGAGCTCAGGCCCACAGCAAGGCAGGACGTGTAGCAGAGCATGGGGGCCTGGCAAAGGAGCCTGTTTCTCCTGCTGTCCCACATGCAGTGAGGGCTGGGCACAAGGATGCAGCTCAGGAACAGCATGGGGCAGGAGGCGATGGCACAAGAGGACCCTGCGGTCCATCCCAGCCATCCAGGATGCCCAAGACACTTGGCTTCCTCCCCAGTTCCATGCAGGGTTTGGGCTGATACCACAGGGAAGGCAGATCCAACCTCTGAGCCGAGCCAAGCAGTACCGAATGAAAGAAGCCCTTCCATGGCTAAAACTCTCCTTCTAGGCTGGGTCTAGCAGGGCTCCAGCTCATCCTTGAGCCAAAGAGTCAAAGGCCGGGGCACTCGCTGCCCCAGGTGGCTGGCTGGATGCTCAAGGAAACCCCCAAATTCCTGCAGCCTCACGGTCACTGTTCACCCCACTTGTGGTCTCCATTCCCTTCCTCTGCTAGCAATAGGCTAGCCCCAAATTACTGCCTCAGCAGGCAGGCAAAAGACCCGTAGATCTTCTCCTGCTCCAGGTCTACCAGCACTGGTGTTTGGCCAGGGGGAAGCAGGGGTGAAATTCCTCAGTGAGGCAAGACCACAGGAGCAGGCCACACCGTATGGTCCCGTTGCCACCCCAGCCCGGGGCGGTGTTCATGGGAGGATGCCCCATGTCAGCTCCATTCTGCCCCAAATAGAGCTGCAGAGATGACCCGCTTGGTCCATACGCCTGGGGAAGCGTGGGAGCAGGCTGGGCACCTGGCATCAGGCACATTTGCCCTTGCGGAGGCAGAACGGCAGCTCTGGCGCAGGCACCAGGATGGTGCTGAAGATGGACTGGTAGCCCTCAGGAGGGGCCTGCGGGTGCTGTGCCATCATTTCCAGCACCATGTGTCGCAGCTCCTTGGAGACGTCACCGCGGAGGTCCAGCAAGCTGGAGACGTGCTCGTCGCTGCGCAGAGAGGAGGTGAGCCCAAGGGCAGCCGGCTCGCGGCGTTACCCCCGGCGGCCCTGCATGCTGCTTGCTGGGCCACCACAGTGCACAACTTGTAGTGCTGGCGCTCCCCACTGTGAACCTCCCGTGACCCACAGAATCACAGAATGGCCAAGGTTGGAAGGGACCTCTGGAGATCGTCTAGTCCAGCCTTCCTGCTCCAGCAGGGACACCCAGAGCACGTGGCACAGGCTGCATCCAGGTGGGTTTTGAAGACCTCCAGAGCAGGAGCCTCCACAACCTCCCTGGGCAGCCTGTGCCAGGGCTCTGTCACCCTCACAGGAAAGAAGTTGCTCCTCACATGGAAATGGAACTTCCAAGGAAGTTGGAAGGAAGTTCCAAGGAAGGAAGTCCCAAGGAAGCAGAGCTGAAGCTAGGATAGATCTGGCACTTTAAACCAGTCAAAATTCAACATTCGTTTGAATAAAACGCCGCAAACCTTGTGAATCTTGGTTTTGACATTTTGTAAGTTTGTTCTGATTATAACATTCCCAATTTGTTATGTAATGATTTCTCACTTTTTTTTTTTTGCTTTGACCCTCAGCTACAGTGAGATGGAGGCCACAGCAGAACTGCTTCTTTCCTTACATCTTTGCCCTTAGGACTCTGCAAGAATCCCTCCAATTTGGAGCATGGACAAAAAAAAAGGAAAGGTGAGGGACAGAGGGAAAAACTCCGGTCTCTCTACACGCTATGGAGCAACCCCATGAGGCCCAGGCCAAACCTGGCTGCCCTGAGCAGAGCTGTATCGGTTCGAGCTCATGGGTGAGCAGAGCTCGGCGCCCTACCTGACATCAGGGTACTTGGTGATGAAGCCCAGGACCTCCAGGCTGAGCAGCGCGGGGTCCTTGAGACAGATGAGCTCCCGCAGGGCAAACACGGCCTCGAGGCTCTGCTGGCTCCTGTCCAGGCCCTGCAAAGGAGACGGGGCGGTCGGGGAGGCAGACGGAGCAGAGGTGCAGCCTGTCCCCCACGACGCTCACCCGGGTCCGGCTGGGGAGCCAGCCTGTCCCCTCCCCAACAGGATGCCCGTGGTTTGTGTCTCCTGGCTGCAGCAGCTTGGTTTGCAGCCCAGTGCCCCTGCCTGGCACCAGGCTGTGCGGCCTGCGCTGGGCGGCATGGGCAGTGCTGCGGGTTCTTGGTGCAGCCGCGTCCTGCCGCCTTGGCCTCACCTCCCCGTCCGACCACCCTGGCTCTGACACCGTGCCTTGCCTGAGGGCCCAGGTCCCCGTCCCGTGTGCTGGGGCAGGCACTGGGAGGACAGCGGGGCCGTGGAGTCAGGCTACAAGCTCTCCATGGAGCGGGGCCCAGCTCTCCCTAAGGGGCAGCCCCGTGGCCTGTGCCGGGCCCGACGGCGGCTCCCGTCCCCGCTGAGCCGCTTCTCACCAGGCCCTGGAAGAGCTCCCGCAGCTGCGTGGCGTCCTGCAGCAGGCGCCGGCAGAGCTGGCCCCGCTCCTCCTGGCCCCTGCACACCATCCTCCTCTGCATGAGCGCCCGCACGTACTGGCTCGTCACCAGGCGCTCGCTCTCCGTCAGCAGCAGCTGGGCACCAAGGGCAGGGGAGAGTCACTTGCCACGGACACGCTGGACGCGGGTCCGGGCTCTAGGCGTGCGTTGTGGGGAGAAAGGCAGAGCAGAAGAGCAAATGCAAGGCCAAGCAGAGGCAACCGCCCACTGGGAAGCCCCCTCACCCTGGCCACAGGGTAGAGAGGCCAGCCGAGCTTGAGGACCCTGGGCATCTTTATGTGGTGGTGCCCTCTGGGATACTCCAAAGGAGACACACCTTGGGTCTTCACTTCTTTGACACATCTTTGGTCTTTTGGTCTTCAACACACCCTATGGTGACTGATTTTACAGGAAACCTCCTGCAAAACCAAGCTGCTCCTCAAGCAGGAGGTGGCCCCGCCATCCCTGTCCCCCTCCCGGCGGAGGGGCTGGCTCTGGGCCGCGTCCCCCATTGCAGCCTGGCACCCGCCTGCCCCATGGCCTTGCTCTGCTGATAAGCAGGCACTCGGAGAGCACATGAGGGTGCCCTGCGGCAACTGTACCATGGAGATGGGTTTCCTGATGCGGGAGAAGTCCTTTGCATACTTGTCTATCACTTCACACATGCTGCTGACCAGCTGGGAGCCAGAGAGCCACTTGCGCGAGGGCAGCTGCACGCACAGGGGCTGCAAGAGGCACAAACACAGGGTAAGGGGCCTTATTATCCTGTCCTCGCCGGAGTTCCTGCTTCAGGGGCAGCACAAGGTCCCAGAGCACCTGCCCTGCTGCTTCCTCACGGCCCATCGACTTTGCTTTGCAAAACTCCCAAGCCCCTTAGGCAGCCCAAGTCCATTTCAAAACATAGGTCTGGGCTAGATTAGAAGCATGGAAATACCCTGGGGCTGCCCTTCTCAGGCTGCCTTGATGCCTGGCACTCAGCATTTTGTGTGTTCCTCTGGCTCTTGAGTTCATTGTCACTGGTGGGCACCCCACTGTGGGTGGCAGCTGCAGCTTGGTGCAGAGAGCTACTCCTTGCCCATGTTTTTGGCCTGTCCTGCTCACCTCCTCCTCCCCTACCATCCTTTCAGGTTGCATTTGCCCTTGCCCTGCCTGGAGGCCCGCAGCTCTGCTGGGGCCATGGCAGTCTCCACGTAGCCTGTGAGTATTTCATCTTTCAGCTTTCAGTATGTCATAGCGTGCACCTTCCAGCACTAAATAGCTCTGCCTTATCTATCTATCTATCTATCTATCTATCTATCTATCTATCTATCTGTCTATCCATCCATCCACTCATCCATCCATCCCAGATTTTATCCAGCCTCCAGGGATGCTGAATTGGACTGCACTGGCAGGAGATGACTCGGGCCCATATCGGCCCGTCTCCTGCGCACTGCCATTGCCTTTCTCCTATTTGCTCTCCTGCCATGAAGCGCCAGGAGAGCAGGAGTGAGGAGGCCCAGCTGGGCTGCGGCTCCCAGTCCTGCTGGTTCCCGATACGGGGCCGTTCGCTGCATGCCCAGGTGATAGGGCACTGTGCTGGCTGGCAGCAGGCCACGTGGGCTGCCCGTGGGTTACCAAGGCCAGCGGAGACACGCGGAGGGTGATAAGAGGCCAGATGCAGCCTGATGAGAGGGAATGGGGTCGGTATCAGGAGCAGGCCTCGTGTCTGGGGCTGTCGCACTGGAGCTGCTCCGGCCACAGACGGGGCTGTGCTGCTCCTGCCCGTGCCTGGAGCTGCAGACACCAACCTGCAGGTCCAGCAGCAGCTCCTCCAGCAGCAGTTGGCAGGCTTTCCGCTGCGTCCTGTCCAGGGCAGCCTGCAGGGATGCGGGCACCTCCCTGGGGGCAGTATCGGGGTGCAGAGAGGAGACAGAGGAGCTAGGAGAGAGCAAATGGGGAGCGGTAGCCCAGGAGGCACAGTGGGGACAGCGGCCCTGCAGGTAGCATGGCAGGGACTGGGGGAGGACAGGGCCTCCCCGCGGCGAGCAGGGCTGGAGCTGCTGCGTGGTACCTGAGAGCCAGGCTGTTGTTGAGCGTGGCGAGCAGGTAGGGCACGTAGTGCGTGGGCACCGCACGCTCCTTCTGGTGCTCCTTCCCGCACTGCACGAGGGCTTCCCGCAGGCTGCAGCACAGCGAGGGAAGCACCGTGGGCCGAACCGCACACATCTACACAGGGAATGCCCGCCCCCGGGACGCCCCCGCGACCTCCGGGGCAGGCCTTGGTGCTACCAGAAAGTCTCGGTGCTACCAGAGAGGCTCTTGGAACAGCAGCTCCCCAAGAAGCTGATGTTGCCCAGAAGCTGAGAAGATTCCCTCCATGAGCCTGGGCAGATGGGCTGCTAGAGCCCACTGCGACCTTAATCAGCCCTGGGCACGCGCTGCGGGCTGGCCCTCAAGGCCTGGGGGATCCGGGAATGCCCAGGACACGAGGGGCTGCACTGACCGGCCCAGAAACGCCTCGAGCTCCTCCAGAGCCATGCCGTAGACCTTCTGCTGCAGGGAGGCCGTGATGAGGGAGGCCACCCGGATGTTCTCGCTCAGCATCTGCAGCGGGAGAGAGGAGGCAGGATGGGGATCAGAGAGAGGCTGCAAACCCTGCCCTCCGTTTGGGGCCGCTCAGCTCGGCCCCGCTCCGCCTGCTCCTCAGGTGGAGGAGGATCCATCCCTGCCGCGGTGGCAGCTCTGGCTGGGGAAGAAGGGAGCCTGACTACCTCTCGGAGCCCCAAGGAGTGCAGCGGGAGGGCACGGGATGCTGGAGCCTGCGGTGCCAGGGACCCACCTGCATGACGATGACGGGCAGGGCTGACTGGAAGAAGCCCTGGTGGTCGGTCTCAGGTTCTTCCTCCCGGAACCACTCCTTGAACTCCACCTCCAGGGTTCTCTGCATCCACTCGAGCACGCTGGCCTGTGGGACAAACACCCACCGTGGCCAGCCCAGGGAGTCCCTTCAGACCCGACACTTACCACAGCACCACGTCACACCTCACAGCACTTGTCCCACACTTCAGTGGTTCGTGCTGCTGTTGAAGCTGGGACAGTGGCCACGGTCGTGCTCCCCCCTGCCACTGTAGCCCTGTTACTCTGCACACTTACCTTGACTTTCACCACATATTTCCTCTCCGTCTGATCCACAAGGTCAGGAGAGATCAAGGGGCCCAGAGCTGAAACATCCACTTCAGGGAGAAGGCCAGGGTGACCCATCATCTCCGGGCTGGAAGGCAGAAGTGGGACAGCACCGGGAAGACCTGTGGTTTACAGGAGTTCCTCCCTCCCTCTCTCTCTATCCGCCCAGTTTTCCTCCCCAGGAACCCAGAGCCATTCTTGTGTCCTGCCTGTGTGTCAGTGACACAGCTCCGCTCACTTTCCCTGAGCACAGGGGTTGCTCTGGGTGTCCCTGCTGGAGCAGGGGGGTTCGGTTGGATGATCCCTAGGGGTCCCTTCCAACCTTGACCATTCTGTGATTCTGTGGTTGCCACTGACCTTTGGTACACATGGAGCACCCACTCAAGCAGGAGGAAAAGTCCCTGCTTGTCCAGGTCCTCTTGGAGGATGTCCTGGAGATGGCTGCTGAGGGCCTGGTGGTACATGGCAGGGCAGATGCTGAGAATGTTGTAGTGAGCTGGAACGCACTGCACCATCAGGTCCTTCACCACGAGCAGCTCAGCCACGACCTCCCTTTGCAGCGCTGCCAGGTGCCTGGACAGCCCGGGGCCCGTGGTGTCCACACGGGCAGTGAGCAAGCGGGATCCTGTAATGGTCTCCTGGAGGACATGGTAAAACTTCTGCCTCCATCCCTTAGGGCGGCCAGGGGGCAGGAAGGTGGCATCCAGGAGCAGAGCATCATCTATTTTCTCTTCCCGCTCGATGATCCTTACGGCAGAGACAAACAGGACCGGGTCCTCCCGCACCAGCTGCAGGCTGCGACCCACGATGCCCCACAGCTGCTTGGCCAGGCTCTCGTTGAGCTCCTGCAGACCACGGAAGTAGGAGAGCACAGTGGCCTGGGCACTGGAGAGCCCACGGAGGTGCAGCTGGAAAAGGACGTCGTCCCGGAGCTGCTCCAGCATCATGAGCTCCGCATGGGCCTCCAGCAGGTGCTGCTCATGGAGCAGCTCCAGGGTGCGGGAGAAAACCTCATGGACTGTGAGAGAGGGAGGAGAAGTGACAGGATTGAGCACTGGGGAGGAAGGGCACTGGCACTGGGGCTGTGGGCACGGGTTAGCAGGGGGCTCCCAAAACGAAGGGTCTGAGACTGTGAAAACAGTGCTGGGACAGGTGCTGGGGAGGCAGTGGCATCTCCATCCTCAGAGACTTTCCAAACCCAGCGGGATGAGGCCCGTGCAGCCTGCTCTCACTTTGCCACCAGCCCTGCGTAAAGCTTCCTGCAGCGCTCCCAGGCGCCTTCCAGCCGCGATTCCCCCGGCTTGGGCCAGCCCCTTACCCGAGAAGAGCTGCGGCAGCACCTTGACCACGGAGGCCAGCTGCACGTGCTCCGCCATGAGCGCGCGCATCCGCTGCAGGTCCTGCCGGCGCTCGGCGCTGCCGCCGAGGGCCCATCGCGCCGCTCCCAGCTCCCGGCGCACGCTCTGCACCTCCTCGGCCGCCGCCCGCAGCTGCTCCAGCCCCGCGCTCACCCCTTCCAGGTAGGACTGCACCGTCGACTGGGGAGCAAAGGAGGACCAAGAGGCAGTGCAGAAGCTCTGCAAGGACGGAGCACTGGAGCTCCCTCTGTTCCTTCGGACAAAGGCCTCTGCAGCACGTGGTCTCCCACCCCCACAGGTTTGCAGCACTCTCGCTCGTCATGCCATCACATCTCCTACGTGTCCCACAATGTCCCCACTCCTCCTTTCCCCTCTTTCACACCCAGCCCCAGGAAACCTACTGGAGCAGCAGGAACGGCCCATTTCACCTTCCACACAGCTAAACTAATCACAGAGCAGGGTTGGGGCGTAGGGGCTGCTGTGCAGGAAGGGCATCCCTTGGGGTCAGCCAGCAGTCACCAGATGTCTGCTTTCAGCTTTAAAAAAACACTTTGCTCCTGCAAAATATTTGCATGCCACAATCCCGCACTGTGTCCCACAGATGGACTAACAGTGTGAAACAGCTCAGTGGCCACACAAGTGCTCCCCCAACATGTATTTTCATCGTTTTAGCCTCATAGAGGCACTGGTACATCTCCATGCCCTCTCTGCTTAGTTCTTCCTAATGTGAAGAAGTATTTTTACCCAGCATTGACAGAAACAAGTTGTCTTCTGTGTGGCCCCCTTCGTTAAAATGACCCCCTCCTGGACAATTTCTCCACATTTGGGCAGGATAAAGCATCCCCAAAACGAGGGTAGCCAGACAAGGCTCAGGGCGCTTAGACCACACAGGTCAGTCTTTCTTCAGGTCATTTAAAAAGGGATTGTAGGGCTACCCTGACCATAATAGATATGTGCACAGGAACCAGTTAAATCCCTTAGTTCTGCATGCAGAAATTCTGTCTCTTCTGTGGGGATTCGCAGGCAGGGATGGATGAGCTGGAGCCCTTTGTTGCCTCCTCGCCATAGCCCTTGGTGCTGGCACAGGGCGGCAAAGAGGAGCACTGGCTCCTGCACATGGGATGCATCGAGCACCCTTAGCATGTTGCTTTTAATGCCCATTTTAACCCTTAACCCAATACCTGTGGTAAGGCAGAAAAGGGTTAACCACACCTTTTCCCCCAAACAATGGTATTTCCCCCACTTATAACCAGTGCAAGGACAAGATTTTCTCCAGAGCTGCAAAAAAAGAAAAATGTTATTTGATGCAGAAGACTGGAGGTCCCCGCACTGGGAGAGGGTCAAGCCGTGGATGTTCTTTAGATGGGACGCAGCAAAAACCCACCTTCAGCCGGGCCTGGATGGAGTTATTCCTCTTGGTTTCTCGGCTCCGATACTGCCCAAGCGCCTCCAGTTTCTCGGGGCGGTAGAACACCCCTGAAGCCCATTTCAGAGCGGCTCCTCTCGCTAACTTCTCCGCCTTCTCTGCTTCTGGCCATTCCTCATCTGGTGGCGAAGCCAGGGGTTAATGAGCAAAAGGGGCCTCTCCTTGTGGGACAGGAAGGGCTCCCAAGGCCAGAGGCAGGAAACTGTCCACAGCGGATGTTCCAGCACACGCAGACGTGGGAAGCGAAGAGTGCGGCAGCAAGTGGCCCCTTTCCGGGAGGGAGATCTGAGAGGGATCCCGCTGTCCCAGGGCTGCAGCACAGGGGTACCCCAAGGAGCCCTCCTGCCAGCTCGGGTTGTCACCCAGACCTCGGTGGGACTGTCCTAGCGATGAGTCAGCAGGAACAAGGGAGGGCAGGCACCGACTCCCCTACATGAAGAGGATCCCAGGGGGGTGATTTGGAGAGCCCTGGGGCCACCCCTGCCTGGGACAACCGCGCTCGCAAGGGCAGAGCCAGGCTGAGGCCAGGAGGGTCCCAGGCTTGCAGCCCTCCCAAAGGCATCGTGTGCCAAAGGCCAGGACCCGGTGCCCTGCCTCAGCCCCGGCTGTGCTGGGGCCACACTGTGGCCTCCTTTCGAGCACCAGGGGCTGACAGCTGGCACAGTCACCCCCCGCTCGCCCTCATCCGCGGCACCCGGATTCACTGTTTCCTCCCTCCCACCGAAACTCCTCCAGCTCGGGACTGCCCCTTGCCCCACGAGAGCATCACCCAGCGCAGAGCCAGGCTGAGCCCGGGGCAGAGCGGCGGCTCTGGGGAGCAGAGCAGCGGCTCTGCTAGCAGAGCTGTCGCCAGCAGGTGCTGAAAAGGCGGCGGGCAGCCCCCGGCAAGGAGGGGACACGGCCCTGCGCGCTGCGGCCGGCGCCGCCGGGGCTCGGGCTGCGCCTCCAGCCGCCCACGGACGCGCGGCCAGGCCCTGCCCCCGGCGCCGCCGTTACCTTTGGGGCTCGCGGTGCGCTCGTCCTCGGCGGACGCGCCCATGGGCTCGGGGCCGCGGGCGAGCTCCAGGGCGCGGGGACGCGGGCGGGCGTGCGCGCTGCTCGGCGGCGCGCTCGGGAGGGCAGGAAGAGGGCGCGGGAGCCGCGCAAGGCACCGCGGCCGCTGCGGGTCTCCCGCGAACGGGGATCGTCCTGTCCTGTCCTGTCCTGTCCTGCGCGCCCTCCAAAGCCCAGCCCTGCGGCAGCCGGGCAGGCCGGGCGCGCGGCCAAGGCAGCGCCCCGCGCACCGCCCCGCGCACCGCCCCGCACATCACAGGGCTGCCGCGCACGCGGCCGCGCCTCCCCGGCTGCCACCGGCTGTCGCGGGGTGCGAGCCGGGCAGGGATGCGTTTTCTTTGTCCTTCCTGCGTCGGTAGCAGGAGCCCCGCGGGGGCGGGCGCGGCCAGGAACGGGCTGCAGGCAGCGGCCGCCCCTTCCCCACGAGGGAGCTGGACGCCCTGTTCCCATCCGTGGCTCCGGGAAGTCCCCACGCCACAAAACGCCTGGGCTGGGCTCGGGTGGAGGCTTCACCTGCAGGGCCAGGGTTGGGCAGGGGGGACAAAGGGGTTTCAGAGCGCACAAAATGCAACGCAGGAAACCAAAGAGCCCAAGAACCCACCCGGCAGCCTCTGAACTCCACCGAGCTCCTTCCCCGCCGCTACCCCGGCACGGGGAGCAGCTGAGCGCAGCGCCCGCTCCCATAGCGGGCCGCGGCTCCCGGATGCTGTACGGGCAGCCGCCCGGGCCAAGGCCGCCAGGGAGCCCTCGGCGGCGGGACTCGCGCGGAGACAGCAGCTCGAAGCTCCGCAGGGGGCGGCGGGACGTGAACGCGGCGGGTGCAGCAGGGACGCGCGGTTCATCCCGCCGCCACATTCCCAGGCTCCCCGCGCACCC